CCGGCTTGCGAGACATCAGCAGCATTTCACGCGCCGACGCAATCCGCAGAGCTCCGCTGCGGGTCCTCGTGTTGCGATCCGCAGCCGCAGCTGCCTTCTTGCCTCGGCTGGCGAAAAACTCCGCTGCTGCTGCAGCGTCCTTCATCCCCTCGCCGCCTTCTGCAAGAGACTCCTGGGGCTGAGCTTCTGCAGTCTCTTCCCCCGCTGCCTCAGGCCTTAAAGCGCCACACTCAGTGCCTCCCCTCAACAAGTGGCGCTGCTGGTTTTGCTGCGGAGGCTCGTCTTGCGCGGCAGCCTCATCCTCCGCTGGACGCACATGCTGCGCTGCAGCGTCTCCCTCCGCCTTCTCTCCCGTCACCATGATAGCCTCCTGCTTTTCCAGACCGCCGTCCTCCTCATCCAATGCGCCTTGCAACAAACCTACTTCCTGCTCGACCTTCTGAGCAGAAGCGACTTCTGCTGCAGGGCAAACCGCTTCTGCAGCCGCCGCTGCTCGTGCAGCAGCAGCCTCCTCTTCAAGCTGCAGTCGATGTCGCTGCCGCTGCTGCTGCACTTCAGCAGACACCCCAAATATGCAATTCGGACTAGGGGACTCGAGGAGCAGCTTAAGAGCATCCCGAACCCACAATCGCAAGAGGCACATACGTTGCTGCAACGCCTCCCGTTCCTGCAGCAATACGTGCTGTACCGGAAGTGCTGCTGCTTCTCGCAGCAAGCGCCGAACCTGCAACGCCATCAATCGCAGTATTCATGACATGTATTCATAACATAACATAAAATATATATAGCAATCCAAGCCCACACAGGTACCTTGCAGGTACCTTGCCAGCCAGACCATGGCATGGCGCAAGAAGGCCATGATCCGCATGCCCCCGTGTGTAGCAGCAGCAACAGAAGAAGCAACAACAGAAGAAAAGGCAGCAGCAGAAGAAAAAGCAGCAACAGAAGAAAAGGCAGCAGCAGAAGAAAAAGCAGCGACAGAAGGAGCAACAACAGAAGAAAAGGCAGCAGCAGAAGAAAAAGCAGCAACATAAAAAGCAACAGCAGAAGAAAAGGCAGCAACAGAAGAAAAAGCAGCAACAGAAGAAAAGGCAGCAACAGAAGAAGCAACAACAGAAGAAAAGGCAGCAACAGGAGAAAAGGCAGCGACAGAAGAAGCAACAACAGAAGAAAAGGCAGCAATAGAAGAAGCAGAAACAGAAAAAGCATCAACAGAAAAAGCAACAACAGAAGAAAAGGCAGCAACAGAAGAAAAAGCAGCAACAGAAGAAAAGGCAGCAACAGGAGAAAAGGCAGCAACAGAAGAAAAGGCAGCAACAGAAGAAGCAACAACAGAAGAAAAGGCAGCAACAGAAGAAAAGGCAGCAACAGAAGAAGCAACAGGAGAAAAGGCAGCGACAGAAGGAGCAACAACAGAAGAAAAGGCAGCAACAGAAGAAAAGGCAGCAACAGAAGAAAAGGCAGCAACAGGAGAAAAGGCAGCAACAGAAGAAAAGGCAGCAACAGGAGAAAAGGCAGCAGCAGAAGAAAAAGCAGCGACAGAAGAAGCAACAACAGAAGAAAAGGCAGCAATAGAAGAAGCAGAAACAGAAAAAGCAGCAACAGAAGAAAAGGCAGCGACAGAAGAAGCAGCAGCTCAAGAAGCAGCAGCAGAAGAAAAAGCAGCAGCAGGAGAAAAGGCAGCAGCAGGAGAAAAAGCAGCAACAGAAGAAAAGGCAGCAACAGAAGAAAAGGCAGCAACAGAAGAAAAGGCAGCAACAGAAAAAGCAACAACGGAAGAAAAGGCAGCAACAGAAGAAAAGGCAGCAACAGAAAAAGCAGCAACAGAAGAAAAAGCAGCAACAGAAGAAGCAGCAGCAGCAGAAGAAGAAGCAGCAACAGAAGAAAAAGCAGCAACAGAAGAAAAGGCAGCAACAGAAGAAAGAGCAGCAACAGAAGAAAAAGCAACAACAGAAGAAAAAGCAGCAACAGAAGAAAAGGCAGCAATAGAAAAAGCAGCAACAGAAGAAAAGGCAGCAACAGAAGAAGCAACAACAGAAAAAGCAGAAACAGAAAAAGCAGCAACAGAAAAAGCAACAACAGAAGAAAAGGCAGCAACAGAAAATGCAACAGCAGAAGAAAAAGCAGCGACAGAAGAAGCAACAACAGAAGAAAAGGCAGCAATAGAAGAAGCAGAAACAGAAAAAGCAGCAACAGAAGAAAAGGCAGCGACAGAAGGAGCAGCAGCTCAAGAAGCAGCAACAGAAGAAAAGGCAGCACCAGAAGAAAAGGCAGCGACAGAAGGAGCAGCAGCTCAAGAAGCAGCAACAGAAAAGGCAGCAGCAGAAGAAAAGGCAGCAACAGAAGAAAAGGCAGCAACAGAAGAAAAGGCAGCGACAGAAGAAAAAGCAACAACAGAAGAAAAAGCAGCAACAGAAAAAGCAACAACAGAAGAAAAGGCAGCACCAGAAGAAAAGGCAGCAGCAGAAGAAAAGGCAGCAACAGAAAAAGCAACAACGGAAGAAAAGGCAGCAACAGAAGAAAAGGCAGCAAGAGAAGAAAGAGCAGCAACAGAAGAAAAGGCAGCGAAAGAAGCAGCAACAGAAGAAAAGGCAGCAGCAGAAGAAAAGGCAGCAGCATACCCTTGTCACGGCAGGAAGGGAGACCTTGGACGCTGTCAGAGAGAAGAGTTGAGCTACTCGCGTTCTGCTGAGCCTCACGAAGTCTTGGAGAGTTGCAGCAGCGCCGCCTCCCCTGGCTGTACACCCCACACAGGCCCAAGGACCAGCGCACTTTGGGGGAGGAGGCAGCAGCAACAGACTGCCGTTGCTGTTGGTAGGGGTGCCAGTGGCAGCAGCAGCAGCAGCTGCTGCTGCAGCTGCAGCTGCACTGTCTCCCTCGGACGGCTGCTGCTTGCTGGCTAGCTGCCAGACGCATGCCAGGTGGAAGCGCCTACTGCAGCAAGAGCAGCGGATCCATTCCCCGAGACCATCTTCGTCATCGGGCAGAAGCTGCTGCTGCGTGTAAGGCTCTTCAGCAGCAGCGGCTGCTGCTGCGTCTACTGCAGCAAGGTCCTCGACCTTGAGGCCCAACGCTGCGCGCAGCTGCTGCCGTCGGTTGTAGTGCTGTCTGTACACCAGACAGGGGTGCTGCGGCGCGTCTTGCTGCTGCAGCGGCTTGCTGCACAGGAGGCAGACGTCTGCCGGCTCTGCATGCAGGCGCAGCGCAGCTTCTTGCAGGTGCACGAAGGCGCGCTGAATCGGACTGAGACACAGGGGGGGGTCAGACGCAACAAACCACTCATCGAGACCCTCCCCCTCCGCTTGCTGCTGCAGCTGCTGCGGCTGCTGCAGCTGCTGCGAGTTCGTGAGAGGCTCGGCAGCAGCGCCTGCCGCCAGAGCCTGCTGCTCCCCGCGATCCGGAGCGCTCAGGCACGACGAGACATCGGGAGTCAGCAGCAAGTGCGACCGCAGCAGTCCCCTCGACACGGGAACCATCGGATCAGCTGCTGCGTTGAGGCGGGTCCACGGACGACGGTAGCTATCCTGCATTTGCAGCACACACCAGCATGGCTCCTAACAAGCGCGCGTGAAGGAGGAAAGGGAGACGGAGTGGGAGACGGCCGCAAGCCATGCCTCCCACGGCGGGGCGTGCGAGTTTCCGGCTGGAAGCTCGGAAAAAAAGCCGAGCGCGCTCTCTGTGTCGCCTTACCCTTGGGAGAAAGCAGATCGCTTCCCTCGCGCGGACAGCCCAATCCACCGCATGCAGAAGCAGCGCAGCGATGCGCCCCTTCAGAGGCACCTGCAGGGGGAGACCGTCTAGAGCCTCCAGGAGACGGAGGAGAGACAAGAGTGACACTTGCGGCAGGGGGGTCCTCAGAGTCTCCTCGAGCAGCGCGCTGCGATCGGGAGGCAGCCTCCGCCTCAAGGCTTCCGGCAGGAGCACCTCCTTCTCCTCCTCCTGTTGCTGCAGCTGCATGACGTCCTCGTTCTCGTAGAAGTCGAAATCCAGCAGAGATCGCCGGTACAGCCACACGGTCGCTGCCGAGACATTCGAGACCCCTCCCCCCTCGCCAATGCTGCTGGTGCTCTCGACCGTGTGACGAGATATGTGCTGCATGCACCGCATGCTGCTGCCTGCTGCATCGTCGCGCAGTACAGGCGCAGCCATTGATTGCAGCCCTTGCAGCAGGCGGAGCACTTCCTCCTCCTCTTCGGCAGTAACTCCCCTCCTCGCCACACACTCCCCATCCACTGCCACGAGAGACTCCCCCTTGCAGACACGTGCCCCCCGCTGCTGCTGCTGCTGCTGCTGCTGCTGCTGCTGCTGCAGCGCCTGATCACTAAGGCCAAACGCGCATGCAGGAACTTCCCAGTCTTCAAGCCCGACGCTCCAAGGGACGCCTTGCCATATCGCAGTGTCTGCCCCCGCCAGTTCTACTGAACGCTGGCAGTGCTGCTGCTGCTGCTGGAGCTGCTGGGGAGTCTCGCACTCCTGAACTCCTTCTATCTCCGCATTCGAACCGACTGCTGCTGTTGCACCCTCTGGAAGGTGTACTGGTGTAAGCTCGCCTGTGGGGGAGCCCGCCTCCATCACGTGCACTTCTTGCAGCTGCGGCAGCTGCTGATGCTGATGCTCATGCTGATGCTCATGCTGCTGCTGATGATGCTGCTGCTGATGATGCTCATGCAGCTGCTGCTGATGCTGATGATGCTCATGCTGCTGCTGCTTGCCCACGTTAGGACGCTTTCCAGTTTGCAGCTGTTGCACTTCTTTCTGAATGAGGAGCTTTCGTCCGCGCTGAGGGTCGAAGAGGCCTTGCAAGACTTCTTCGACTTCGCTCTCGGTGTCAAAGAACCCCTCCGCCACGGCACTCCCCAGCTCGAGTTGCTTCTCCTTCTCCTCCCCAGGAAGCGGAGAAGGAGAGGGAGAAGCAGCATCTCCATGAGACTCCTTCAAGCGCTCCAGGAAGCGCTCCCTGCTGTCGCGTTGTTGGTGCTGCAGGAGCTGCTGCTGCTCGATTTCCTTTTGTTTCTCGAGAACTTTCATGACGCCTTCTTTCGAGCAGAGACCTATGGCAGGAACGCATCTGTACGGATTCTGGTAGGCGGGGGCTTTGCTGCTGCAGCAGATTTGCATGCGGCGACGGAGGGGCAGCGCGAGACTGCCGTAGGCGCTTGGAACGCGTTGCTGCTGCGCATGCAGCAGCAGCTGGTGCTGCTTCTCCATGTCTCCTGCGGCAGCAGCAGCAGCAGCGGCAGCCTGATCTCGTTCTGCAGCCTTCCGCTGCTGCCGCATGAGTTCTTCCTCGCGCTCGAGGAACGGATACTGCTGCCTGAGCCACCAGCTGATCAGCAGCTCAACGACGATTAGGGCCTGTAACACAACCGTTTCGCCGTGGAGGAAGCTTCCAAAAGACGAAGAGCTGGAGCGAAGCAGCAAAAGGAGGCCTTCGCGGAGGGTGGGCAAAGGCACTCCCGATGCGCGCAACATTTCCTTCGAGGAGAAGCAGCGCACACGCCTGCCATCCCCTATTCGAGGGGTTACGTTTCGACAGGGGAAGTTGGGAGTCTGTTTTGCCCGTCTTCCCACATGCGGAGGAGCTGCTGACACGGCAGCCGCAGCAGCTGCCATGTGCTGCTGCTGCTGCTGCTGCTGCTGTTGCTGCTGTTGGGGCACTGCGAGTTGCTGGCCTTCTTCCCGAGCGAAAGACGCCACGCTGCAGTCTGCCATCGAGGCTTCTTCTTGCATCTGCGGGGGGTGCAGCTCGCTAGGGGTGAGTTCGGAGGAGTTCTCCGCGTACTTGGCCCTCTTCGAATAGCCAGCGGCTGCGGCGGCAGCTGCAGGCGACTGCTGCTGCCGCGTGGCTGCCCTTTTCACGCCTCCCCCCGTCGGGTGTATTGACGGCACCTGCTGCTGGGGCCCTGCAACAGCAGCGCTCGGTGCGAGGCTGTCCACCCCATACGCCTGCTGCTGTGGCAGAGCAGCAGCAGCAGCAGCAGCAGCAGCAGCATCACCCCCGCATTGCCGCTTTACGCCAGAGGCTGCTCGTGCTTTACAGGGTGGGCCGACAGCCTTCGCGATCCAGAGGCCTTGTACCGACTGCAAGAATCGTAAAAAGAACCAAAGAAAGGCAGCAGCTGCTCCACTACTCCCTAAGAGTTGGAGGAAGAAAAGCAGGAGCAGAAGCAGCTGCAGCTGCAGCCTCACACAGCCCCCGTGCCGTCAGGAGGGTCGTCGGAAGGCGCTTTATCTGGATCGCGTTCCTCATGCCATGGCCGACAGAAGAGGCAGCAGAAGAAAAGGAAGGAGACAGAAGCGGGAAGGAAGGACGAAAGGAGAGAGTGCCGCATGAAGAGCAACAGGCAAAACAAAGGGGGTACATACACCACCCCAAGGGCTTACTGCATGGTCTCCCCTGCGTTTAGCCTTGGATTCGATGAGACGCAGCAACAAGGGATGCAGCGAACGGATGTCAGACACCGGCCAGCTGATCTTGCCGCCAGTTAGCTGCCTGATACAGCGCACGCATGCACAGCGCAGCAGGGGAACCCGCACGCCAGCTCCAGGCTTCATTTGGCTGCAGCTGTGTGTGCAGCAAAAGGACAGCGTCAAGAAACGTGCCCTTGCTTTCCTTACGGCAATGGCTACTGCGCAAGCGAAAACAACTGCATCACGAGGAGAAAGCGCCAGAGCAGCACCCTCCAGCAGGCAGGAGGACCCTCTCTCTCTAACGGCAGCGACACAGCAGCAGCCAAGACAGACTTGTAATGCAGAGCGTATGCCGTCAGGAGGTGGAAGGCATAGCCAGGAGGTTCGCCTTCCAGCCACACGCGATGGAAGTCTCTGTCGCTGCTATCCGCATGATTCGCAGGAGACACTCCTGCACGCAGCGTGGAGGCGCCCCCCCCCTCAGTCGGTTGCGCTTCATCCTCAAGTGCAGTACTTGGCGCCGTTTGCTGTTGCTCCTGCATCTGCTGCTCATCATCGTGTATGCGAGACTCCTGCATCTGCTGCTCTTCCTCCAAGCGCTTCCTCTCTGAGGCAGCTGCCACATCCAGCAATACGTCGAGTCGTGCGCTGAGACACAGCAGCGCCTCTACGGTGAGACCCTTCGTGACTGCATACAACAAAAGCCGCTGCAGCTCCTCTGTCAGCTGAGGTAGCATCAGCAACACACACTTCACGATAAAAGAGGGACCAAGAGGAGGGTGATGCTGCTGTAACGCCGCTTCGCGCTCCTTAACCCATGCCTTCCGTGCCTCTGCTGCAGCTGCAGCTGCATCAGCAGCTGCTGTCGCATCTGTTGTTGTTGTTTTTGTTGCAGTTGCTGCAGAGTCAATAATGCAATTAATTGGCAGGCTGCCCTGTGCAGCCTCTACGTCATGTGGGGAAGAGGCAATTAGCTGCTGGTTTGACTGCTGCACGGAAGCAAGCAGCCGCAGGTGTTTTTCTTCTTCTTCCTCTTCCTCTCTTTCCTCTTCTTCTTCCTCTCTTTCCTCCTGAGAGCCGTCTTGCGCGTCGTTTGCGTCTATTGCCGGGAGAGCAGCAGTCGCAGTTGGCGCGCAGATGCAGCAACGAGCCGCTTCCGCCACGATCTCTTCCTGGGGATGCCTCTGCATGCGGCACAAGTCCTCTAGCAGGGGTTGCTGAGCGTCTCGAATGACTGGAAGACGCATGGCTCGGTACTGCTGTAGCCATTGCTGCGTGCTGCAAACGAGGGATTTCAATCGCAAGTAGGTAGGACCATCCACCAGCTCTACAGGCAAGCCAACTACCGGCTCTGCAGCGTTGCAGCCTTCACTGCGCTGAAGCTCCGACAGCAGCTGCAGCACAGAAAGACCAGTGAACGGCTTCTCCTCATCGCCGCTGCTCGCCACAGCCTCGTGCTGCTTCTGCTGCTGCAAAAGGAAGGAGGCACCTGCGGAGCCGTCCAGAGGATGCAACTCCTGCAACATGAGCGTCTCTTCCTCGTCCTCGCTCAGCTCCTCCGCCCCCAGCGCCCATCCAAAGGGGTCGCGCGCAGTAACTACACCTCCTGCGGCAGTCTCCGAAGATCCATACTCGCCAGCTGCTGCCTCCGCCCCGGCTGTCTCGGCGGCTTCCCCCGGAGTGTCGACATCCATCGCGTGCTGCTGCTCCTGCAGGGAGTGAAGAAACTGCGACTCCGGCTGCATGTACTCCTGCTGCTGCTGCCCCTGCTGCTGCTGCTCACCGGGAGATGCATTCGCAGCAGCAGCAGCAGCCTCTGCTGCCTCCTCTGTCTTCGCAGAACGTCGAGTTGTTACTGCCGCCATCACCTCCCCATGGAGCCTAGGACGGCGGGGAGCACGCGTGCTACGTCGAGTAGGCGCTAACGGCCTGTGTTGCTGCTGTTGTTGCTGCTGTTGCTGCTGCTGTTGCTGCAGTTGTTGTTGCTGCTGTTGCTGCTGGTGCTCCGGCTGTTCTTCGTCCTCATGATCGAGTTGCTGCCTCCTACGCGTTCGCACAGGGGAAGCCCTCACAGGCGGAGGTTCCTCAGGAATTTGAGGCTGGGGAGGCATCAGCAGCTGCTGCAGACGAATCTGCAGCTCCAGCAATTGCTGTTGGGCTATTGTTGCTGGAGAGACCACCACTTGCTGCTGTTGTTGCTGTTGTTGTTGTTCTTGCGAGAGCCTATGTTCGTCCTCACCCTCGGCCCCCTCCTGCGCTTCTTCGGTCGCAGGAACGTCGGAAGGGAGGGAGAGAGCCTTCAAATTACCGCCAGATTCTCGCACATGCAGCCGTCGCGTCTCGATCTGCTCCCACACAGCCAGAAAAGCCCCAAGTCGCATGCATGCAGATTGAGCGCAAAAGAGAGAGCCTCCGCTGCGGCCGAGGGCGTACAATGAAACCTTGGCATTCGAAAGGCGAATGCGCATCTACAAAGAAAGGTCTGCAATTGTAGAAGGGGCAGTGCATCCGCGCATGCAGATGTGCATGTGGGGAAGCAAGGGGAGAAGACTTTGAAGGGGGTAGAAAAGGGGGGAGGAAACCTGGGTGCAAAAAAATATGCATGCGGCAACTCTGAAGCGCATTTCCAACCGACCTGCTGGAGAAGCTGTTCGGCCTGGGCAAGAGAATGGCGTGGACAGCGAAGAAGCGACAGCATGCGGTGATTGTATACGCGTAGCAGCACCTGGGAAGAAGCAATAGCAGCGCATGCGTGGAGCTACCGCGTCTCAAGAGGGTCCGCGAGCAGCACTTGGGGGCTTTCCTTCCGCCCACGATTCACCGCGCCTCGCAGTAGAGATTTGGGCGAGACATCTGAGAAAAACGCAGGCTTCTCACCTCAACTTTGAGCAGACGTCTCTCCTTAATGTGGATGCGGCCCACAGCGCAGGCAGCAGCAAGCCGTCTCAGCCGCTGCGTCGTTTTCCAGAGAAGCGCATTGGCTGCATCGGGGGAGAGCAGTTGCAGCGCGGAGATTCGCTTTTCCTGCTCTTTCTGGAGAGCCTTCAGCCTCTGGAGACGGATCTCTTCTGACTCTTGCGCGTCTGTCCTCCCCCCCCCCCCTTCCGCGGCACTCGCTGCTGCTGCAGCTGCTGCTGCCTGCTGTTGCTGCTGCCGAAAGAGAAAAAGGACGTGAGGCTCCGAGATCGCAGTGCCAAAGTCGGAATGAGGATCGACTCCCGCAGCAACTCCAAAGAGACAAGCCGCGCGTTCTCTGTACGACTGCTGGAGCGCTCTAGCGCAGCGTTGCCTTAGGCGCTGAGCTTTTCTGACGTGCTGCTGCAGTTCAGCGAACGGCAGGAGAGACTGCCCCAGCCCAAAGGGCTTCCGAGTCAGTCGCTCCGCATCCAACAAAGGCACATAAGCTCTAACGGCAGGAATCTGCTGCTGCGGGAAGGTGCTTGCTGCACTGGCCGCTGCAGCGCGAGGGAGGATCATCAGAGGCATCGAGCTCTCCTGCAGCATCTCCGTAATGACTGCAGCAGCTGCGCTTGCATTCTGGCAGCGAACTACGACACGCAATTCCAGGAGATGCTGGTAGACAATGCACCAGTCCGCACTTTCGCGCAGCTGCCGTTGCAGCTCCTCTAGACCCTCCGGCTTTATGCGCAGACTGAGCCCTCGTTCCACGTGCTGTTGCCACTGGCGCAGCGATCCCCCGACGGCGTGCAGCTGCGCAGTTTGCGCGATCCACGCGGCGACAGCGCTGCATGCCTCCTTGAGGTGGGTGTAGCAAGGCAAGTCTGGAGTGTCGATCGGCAGCTGCAACAGCTGCTGCTGCTCCTCCACGAAGCGCTGAAGCTCTGCGCGAGGGGTGTCCTCTGCCTCGAGGTGCTGCGCAGAAGCCGTCTCGAGATCTTGCAGCTGCCGCAGCCGTTCCTCCGTTGCACCCAAGCAGCTAATGTACACGCTGCAGCTGCTAGCCTTGCGCTGCAACTCGCGCAGCTGCGTGAGAGACGCGGCCGTGTCTGGATTGCCCAGCGCAGCCGCCAGCTGCCCCTCCACTTCCTGCTGCTGCTGCAGAGCTTGCGCGATATCCTGACGCACCGACGAAAGATCTACGGGCAAGTCTTCAGCCTCCAGCAACAGCTGCTGCCACTCCGCAGCTCGAGGACGTGGCACTGCCTCGCGCAGCCTGCAAAGAGGCAGCAAAGAAGCTCACTCGAGAAAGAAACAGCGCATTGCAACCCACCCGAGCAGGAAGAAAACAACCGTTCGGCGACAGATACATGCGCCGTTCGTTCTAGACGCGAAAAAACTCTACCAGCAGCCCCTACAGGCACAGCCAGCAGCAGCAGACGCCACCCCAAGAGTCAATACACCAGAAACGGCTCATCACGCACTGCTGGGCCTTGCGTTGCCAGTCCGTCGCGATGCCACTCAGCGCTTTTAAAAAAGCCAACTCGGGCAGTGAAATCAGCTGCTTCCACTGCTGCTGCTGCCTGCTCAGACTGCTCTCCCCCTGCTGCCGTGAAGGATCCATCATATCTCCTTGCTGCAGGGGGATCGCCTCCTCAGAGCGAAGTTCACCTCGGTCAGCACTTTTATGAGTTGCGGCAATCACGCCGCTCGACGCAACGGCAAACGCATTCGATTCACCCACCAAAACACCCTCCCCAGCAGCTGCTTGCTTCTCGTTTGCCGCTGTAGCTGCCGCCTCCACCTGGAGCGCTGCCTGGCACTTCAGATCTCGATTTCTCGATCGTGGCGGCTTGCTAACTGTAGCGGCCTCGCGGGCAATCAGCACGGAAACAGGGGTTTCCGTGTCTATCCACCCAGAGACTGCGAACAAACACACACCACAACAGAAACGAAAACTCCCCGTCAAAGGTGCCTCAAGACACCTTGCGAAAAAAAACACCGAAAAATGCAGCAGCAAGCGATAAGCGGCAGAAAAGCAGCTGCGCGTGAAATGAACCACTTCCCCTTCCCCCTTTCTCCCCATCCAAAAGGACTCTCTGTCTCTCTCTCTCTCTCTATATATATATACATATTTGCGCAGCAGCAGAGGATGCGAAGTGGCAATAACACGGCAGCATCACGTGTAAAGAACGGAGAGTTAGCTTACAATTTTGTAGCTGCGGAGCAGCGAGGAGCTCCTCCACTTGAGCGTCATTTGCGGGAGGCCTCAATCTGGCAACTCGACTCCTCCATAAGGCATACAGCAGCAGCTGCTCAAGGCGGTTTTCAAGATCCTCACAGCAGCAAACCGAGTCGCTTTCTAGCAGGAGCAGTGCAGCAAGTCGCACAGTGTTTGCGCTGCACGGCAATAGAGGCCGCAGCGCTTTCCCAAGAGAATCTCCTGCTCCTGCTCCTGCTCCAGCGGCAGCAGCCACGGCGCCTGTACTTCCCTGAGAGCATGCTGCACTGCCGACAGTCGTCTCTGCACCCTCTCCAAGCGGCGCAGTCTTGAACTCCGCTCCCTGTTGAAGAGCAGCTTCTCCCCCCCCCCCCCTCCTGCGGCAACAACAACGAATGCTGCTGCTGGGGGAGAGACAGCAAATCCTGAGCTCTCTTCAGCCAGCGCTGAGCCTTGTCTCGCAAATCCACGAGATCTCCATGCAGACCCCAGTTCTTGATGACGAGGTTCTCTGCAATTGCAGCAGCAGCAGCAGCACAAACACGCGGCAAAACGCAGCAGTCACGGAAAGGAAAAAGAGCTGCAAGCAAGAACGACACGCCACAGCGCCTACCTACCCGCAAAAGACGGAATCACGTGTTCCCATGCATGCAGCAGCCGGCAAAGGGAAGGAGGATTCCAAAAAGCACGAACGATCACGCAGGGAACCCCCTACCCTCCCCCCAAGCAGTGATCCCCGAATCGAACCCTTCGCTCGCCCACCATGCACGGCAATGAGCTCGACTAGGCGCTCATACGGCGCTCTGCGACGGTCTGCTGCTGCCTCAGCGCCTCTCGCAGGGGAAGACACTCCCGACCCCACGACTCCCGACGCTGCGACCTCCCTGCGGTGTCTCTGCAACTCCAGAACGTGCATGAGATCCTCCGGGAGCAAAGCTCCCTTGCGACGAAAGCCGTCAAGGGAACCAACCGCCCATCCAAGGCGAACAGCAGCAGCCGCTACAGCAGCAGCGGCAGCACTGTCTAGGAGAGACCTCGCCTTCTCCGTGAACGCAGCGGACTGCTTCACATACTCCGTTAAGGGACGAATCCAAGCCTTAATTTCGAGCTGCTGCTGCAACACCTGACCGTCGTGCAACACCTGACGTGCCTCAGGAAGCGACAGGCTGCCCCCTGCCGTCTTGGCAAAGCGCTTTTCCCACTTTCGCCAACGGCCATACACTGCCTGCAACACAGCAATAGCCGCGCATCACTGAAAGCATGTAGGCGCACACACATATAAGTGTGTGGGTGTGCTCTGTACATACACCCCACCGAGCACACGCCCACAGAAGACACCCGCGAGCGCGTCTGCAGTTTCAGCCAGCCAGCCAGCCAGCCAGCTAGCCAGCTAGCTAGCCAGCTGAAACCGAACCGCAACTCGTGGGAACCCAGTTCTGCGGCTCAAAAAGCACAACACGGCGAATTCTAGCTGGAAAAAAGAAAACAGACGAACCTCAAGATATTTGATGGCAGGAACTATCAACTTGAGGGCCGTGTGCTGCGCGATAAGCGCCTCCAATTCTGCAGGTGTCGGAAACGAGGAGGAGAGCTGCTCTTCTTCTGAGACGAGGCAGCCAGGGGAACCTTCGGCAGCCGCTGCCGCCCCTTTTGCATGCGTCGTGCTGCCCTCGTTCTTCACCCCATCAGCGAGAGACTGAAGCTCTCGCAGTGCAGCAGCGTCTGCGCCTGCCGCTGTCAGCAACTGCGCGTACCGGGGTTGCATGCACCGTCGCGACCACTCCCCCGCTTGCGCAACTCGACGCTGAAGCTCTCTGGCAGAGGGTCCAGCCGTCTCAGAGGATGGCTCTTGCAACAACGCTATTGCGACGCCTAAACGAATAGGCCGCTGCAACAGACGCTCAACACGTTCCGCCCATGCCGCTGCAGCAACGTGCCCCTTCCAGTCGCTCCACCCTGAATACACGGCACTCGCTACCGCATTCACGTCGAAAGCGGAAAGCATGGATGCACGCATGCATCTCCCCGTTCGCCTACTAGCAGCGTGCGCAGAAAGAGAAGCACCGATGTTACACACACACACACACGCACATGCCGCACGTGGTGTTACACATGTCGCTGCTGTCAGGGAAGGCAGTAAGTCGCTGCTGTTACACAAGTCGCTGCTGTTAGGGAAGGCAGTAAGTCGCTGCTGTCAAGGAAGGCAGTAAGTCGCTGCTGTTAGGGAGGTAAGTAAGTCGCTGCGGCTACGCAAGTCGCTGCGGCTACGCAAGGCAGTAAGTCGCTGCTGTTACACAAGTCGCTGCTGTCAAGGAAGGCAGTAAGTCGCTGCGGCTACGCAAGTCGCTGCTGTTAGGGAGGTAAGTAAGTCGCTGCTTTTAGGAAGGTAAGTAAGTCGCTGCTGTTAGGGAGGTAAGTAGTCGCTGCGGCTACGCAAGTCGCTGCTGTTACACAAGTCGCTGCGGCTACACAAGTCGCTGCTGTTACACAACGGAAACTCGCAGCGCCTTGAGCCTCCCGAGACTTACCGGGTATATACACGCAAACATCCTGAGCCTGTGCCAGGATTTCTTCGCACTGGGGGAGATCGCCAGTGGCTGCAGCCGCTCTCAGGAGGTCTCGCCAAGTGACAACTTGTTGCAACTGCTGCAAAAGGAAGATGAACTCGGGGACGATGAATGGGATTTCGTGGAAGCCTTCTACCAAGAGTCGTCGCAGGAGCTGAATCGGAATGCGGCCCTTCCCGCCGCTGCTACTACTACTGCCGCCGCTGCTGCTGCCCCCTCCTCCAGCGCTGTTTTCTCCGCCCTTCTCTCGGCGGCTGCTGCTAGAGCCGCCGCTGCTGGAGCTGCCGTTAAGCGCAGCACATATGCGCTGCCCGAACTGTCGGCTCTGCCGCACACGATGCTGCAGTTGTTGCAGCTGCTGCGACACTCCAACGATCTGCTGCAGAAGAAGCCCTTCCTGCAGCAGCTCCTCCGCCTCCGCTAGGTGCAGCCTGTTGCCGAGGGAAATGGGCAGAATCGTGCCTCGCGCAGCTGCCAGAGGATCCGACAACAGCGGCAACTCCACCTTCTCCTGCAATAAAATCGGCGCCGCTTCGGTAGGGGGGCCCCCCGGTAGCTCCACGGGGGGCCCCTGGGGCACTCGGCTGCTGCCATCCGTAAGAGCGACAGACACTCTAAGCAGCCACGACTCTACGCGGTCGAGCTGGAGAGAAACGTTCTGCTGCAAAGAACGAAGCGCGTCAATGTCTCGCAGCGGCGGGGGAAAAGAAGAACTGCTACTACTGCTATTACTGCTGTTAGCCTCCCCTTCGGCTCCTGCAGGAGCTGCAGCATCTGCCAAAGCCGCAGCTTGCTGATGCTCTTGCTGCTGCTGCAGCCGACTCCGCGAAGACAGCTGAGGCAGGAGCAGCAAGTTTCCGCCCGCCACGGATATCGCACTGCCTGCAGCTGCTGCTGCAGCGGCAACGACTGCTGCGCTGCTGCTGCCAACTGCCGCTGCAGGAACTGAATTGAAGAATGCGGCTGCCTGCCGCTGCACCTGCGGCAAAAGGCCGCAAATACTCCACACAGTCGAAACATGCGACTCGGGAAGAAGCGCAAATAAAGGTCAGCAAACAAAGCGCTTTTCACAGAGCTGCAAGGTGGCCTCATTCTCCTCCTTAGCACTGCTTCCCACTAACCACAAAACACATGGAGACGTGTCACCTCAGGATGTGCTATTCGGCAAAATGAAAGGTCTGCACGACCTCTAAAAGAGAACCGGCTTGAAAGTCGAGGCGAGACGAAGAAAAATAAAAATTTCAGCAAGGCAAAGTGCAAGTACATGTGTGCCACGCAAGGGGGAGGGGAAGGAGATGCCCCCACACTTAATGCAGCGGTGTATGTCGCGCAGCCTTACCAGCTACACACACATCGATTTTTACACGATTTTTACACGATTTTTACACGAATGCACAAGGTCGCCCCAACTTACGTTTGGCAAGGCATCATGGAGGAAGCACAGCTGTTGGGGGGTTGGTTGACGGTGGGGGTGTGGCTGTTGTTCGTATAACAAGGCCTCCTTTCGCTGCGAGGCGACAGCATTCGACGCTCTCCTTGCTGCAGGCACTGTCTGATAGCCTTCCCGCCTCCAGACGGACTGCTGATGCAACAGCCGCTGCTGCTGCTGCACAGATTCGAGAGTGCCAGCCTCTGGCATCGTCGTCTGCTGCTGCAGCAGATGCGAGTGCTGCTGCTGCAAGCGGCGGTCTGCATACATGTACTCCAGCACAAGCTCCTGATCGAGGCAGTTGAAGTCTGTTGCCCACTCCCCCACAGTCTCCGCCATTTGCTGCTGCTCCTCCCCGAGAAAACGAAAGGCCTCCTCTTGCTGCTGCTCAGTTGCTGCCAGACACGCAGAGGCACCGCTTCCACGGCTGCCTCCGTTTCCAGCTCCTTCTGCTTCGGCTGCAACAACGACTGCTGCCGCTGCTGCACCCCTTCCACGACTTCGACCTCCACGCGACGCTCGCACAGACCCCTGTAGAAGCATTTCCTCCTCTTGTTGCTGTTGCTGCAGCAGCCTTCGCGCAGCGGCTGCTGCTCCTCGACGGCCCCTTCCCCGAGTAGGAGCTGCGGAGGCAGAGCAGAAAACGGAGGCGTCAAATACTCTGAAAGGTTGCGTCGTGAGCAGACGAACTAGGGGCACTTGCACCCGCTGCTGCAGCACAGCTTCTTCCGCTGCTGCTGCTGCTCCTGCCGTCGGTGCTGCTGCAGCAGCAGTGCCTGGAGGAGGTTTGCTCGAGGCATCTCCCTGCGAGGAAAGTTTCTCGGTAGCGTCTATTTCCGAGGCGCTGCTATTCACGATGCTGCTCTCTTTGTCAACAGCTCCGGCTAGCTGCTCCCTGTCGGGAGGGGCATCCACAGCAGGCGCAGCCGTCTCCTCCGCTGAAGACTCTGCTGTCATCAATTCATGAGAAAGCGGCGTCTCAACGCGCTTCGCAGCTGATGCATGATCCGAAGCTGCCGAAGAGCTATCTGCGGGAGCGTCTGCATCGGCAGGAAACCCTCCCCCCTTGCCTGCAGCGGCAGCTTCTGCCGCGGGAAAGAGAATCATACGTTTATCTTCTGGATTCTGCGAGGATTGCTCCTTGCCCTCCGGGAAGAAAGGAGCATGCGTTTGCGCTGCGATGCGCTGCTGCATTAGCAGAAGTCGGCACTCCTCCGCCGCCGCCTCTTGCTGCGTATCGATTTGCTGCTGCTGCTGCCGCTGCTGCTCCCTATCGAGGGGGAGAGTGGGAGCGACCCAGCACTGATGCAAAAGGGCATCATGACGTGTTGTCTTCCGCTGTCTAGGCCCCCCGATCGCGCGCATGTACAGTCTGCCTCCTGCAAAGCCAAACGGCGCAAAGCACAAGACTTGCACTTGTTCAAGTGCTCAGGACGGCATGCACTCCTCGCCCACGAAAGCGGTGCAGTGACAGCCGCAGAGCCCTCCCTAAGCTTCAAAGGGGGTTGCGAAACAGGCGAAGGGGAAAAACGACTCTTACCACCATCTGCGCTGCTGCCCTCGCCAGCCGCTGCAGCTGATGCTGCCGCTGCGGCAGTCTGCAGCGAGGCTGGCATCCCCCCCCCACGAGCACCTGCAGAGCTCATTGCCGTTGTTGGTATGGACTGAAACTGATTCTTGAGCCCATTCTGCTCACTGGTTGCAGCTGTTGTTGGCGCTGTTGCTGCTGAAGGCGCGGCGTGAAGGTGGGGGGAAGGACTGCTGCCGCGACTGGCAGTCCCTCGGAGGGAAGTAAACGACTCTGGATTAATTGTTTTCGAATTACAACAGGATTGGGAACCCGAGCTGCCTGCTGGCGATCTCCTGCGGCTCTCCGAAAGCCTCCACCAGCACTGCAGAAGCTACCGCCGCCCCAGCAGCCGTGCCTGTGCCCAGAGGAAAGACTGAACCGTTGCTGCTGCTGCTCCTGTCGAGGAGGAGCAGCAGCAGCAACGCGCGTTGTTGCTTCTATGGGTGCTGCTACACCTGAGGGCCTTGCTGCAGCCACGATGAAAGAGCTCCTCAGGATGGACTGGTAATCCGTAGTGGCGGCTGCGGCGCTGCTGCTGGGAAGGCCCCTAACAATAAGGGGAGAGCCTATGCAGTTTATGTATTGCGAGACATTTACTAGTTTAGCGCAGGAGCAGCGGCGGCGACTGCAGCAGCTGGAGCGGCTGCGCCTGCACTGCAGCCTAAGAGATGGCCTTGGTTGTGCGCAGTGGCTGCAGCAGACCCCCTGCGGCATATATTTTTATGTATATATGCTGCTATCCCTAGAGGAGACATCCACTGCTCCAGGAAAAATTAGCTTGACAGATCATAATAAAGCGTTTTAAGGGCTTAAATTGAGGTGGAACCCTTGGCTACGATCTTTAGTACTAGCAGCAGTAGCAGCAGCAGTGGAAGCTGCTGCTACTGGCTTTCGATATATGCGTCGCCTTTGCCTAGCAGAGAGGCTCCTAGAGCACATTACAGAAACGTTAATGGGCATACTCTATGGCAGAGGACTCTGGTGTTAACGGACGCCCTTCGGCTTAACCGCTCTTGTGGTAGGATACAGCAGCACTGGTAGAAGCAAACGAACAGCTGCGTACATGGCCATACCGCAAGAGCTTCTCCCACTGCTACAGCAGCAACACAACAAAGCCATGATCCTTTTCGTTGGCAATAAAGAACTCCTCGAGCAATCGTGAAAGGCCCTGTCATTCGCTTTGCGTCCTTTATGCATTCATCTATGCAATGTAAGCAGAGAATTCGCCGCCGCTCCCGCTGCAAGGGGGCAGCAGGCTGCTGCTGCTCCTGTGTGTGGCTGAATGTGCTTTCAGGAGGGATTGCATTCCGATAACGTTGCCATGGCCTGCCCTCTTCCACTGCGCAGTTTTGCTCGAGTTCTTCGCATAGCATATTTTCCCGTTGCCATGAACAACTCAAATAAATACGCGAATGCACCCTCCCCAGGCAACGAGCTAAACCAGCCTTCCCTCAACCCACAGCTGCGCACTACAGCGAAAAGATTTTGAGGGTTGCGATGTGCGACACGCACCAAAGGTCTCGCCTAGTGGGTCATACAGCTCTTTTAATTATGTGGACAGAAGCAATAAGGTCTGAAACGGGCACGCTGCCCTCTTCCTGTTGTTGAAAGCGCACTGCGGCGAGTCTCCAAAGGTGTAACCGCAACGCCCCAGCCCAATCAAAGCCTCGGAGAAAATATGAATTCTCGCGTCCAAAGTGACCCTCTCTCTCCTTTTATTCACCCCTTAGGGCTGCTACCTGTAGAGAGGACGAGAACCGAGACGGCATTGTGCCATATCCTCTGAGCTCTCCAGGCATGCTTCAGCGGTCGCACACCGCCCCTTAGTAAGCTATACCCAACGTTCAAGCTTCTAGCGTTGGGCTCGCCCTGCTCTAAAACAAACTGTGGTATAAGCCCAGTTACGTCAAAGGGTCAGAGTGTCACGCAATAAACACTTGATTAATGACTCGGGACGAGCTTGATGGAAAGTTATCGAGTGTTCTCAAAAGAGCCTTCCCCTCTCCGGGCCCCTCAGAGCTCTCACATGGGAGAAAAAAGGCAGCTAGGATCCGCGTGGCTGCACCCTTTGAGAACTTCGAGCATTCACAGCTAGTTACACCTTCGTCTACAGCACTAACACATAATATTGCGTCACCCATTATCCCGCTACTAGTACTCTACAAGAAGTTACGTATATGAATACACATGAAAATCATTCAGCTCCTTGCTAATCGTTGAAAAAAAATAATAGTGCAGGAGAAAGTGTCCAAGTGTGGCATTGCCAGCTAACGCGCCCTCATGGGTTGCAGATGAGGTCAGCAAAATGCGCAAGTCCATCACGCAGCCTCATACATAGTGGAGAGTTAAGCCTTTAATATAATTGCATGAAAAGATATGACGAAGCTGCGTATTACCACCAAAGCTCGCTGAGAGGTGTCTGCGATCCTCTATTTCCTTCAAAGCCAAGTGTGCACGTGGAGCGTTCCCTGATTTCGCTGCACTTCTGGCCAAGAATGTGGTGCAACTACGAGAGTAAATAACTCCTAAACTCACCTGAAGCCAAGATTCAAGCTTTCTATGGTTAAGGCGTGAGTTCCTCCAGGGCACAAGTGCCTTCCTAGACCTTGAGCAGCTTGGATCCAAGCTGAACTCCGGGTTGGTGCTCCCTGTATGGTATCTGTATTTTGAGTGTAACACTAGGGCAACCGTCTTACGCGTGCTAATTTTTGATGCATCCAATGAGAGAGGTCATGCGGAGTCCTTTGGGAGTAGACCACCTTCGTACCTCCTTGTAGAACTCAATATTTGGCCCCCTGGGTACTCCCATCCAAATCTTCCGCCCCCTTTTTCACCCCTAGAGAGCACTTTTACTCACCAGGGTTGTGCGGATTGGGATAGAGGGAATATGGCAGAGCCATTTTGGCTCTGCTCTGTGTTTACCGTGGGTATCCCACGCCGTTTCGCACGAGTGACGCGGCACAGGTGCCCCGTGCGCACAGGTTGGCCTTCCTGATGGCTTTTTCCTCATTAACGATGTGAATCTTGTTGTCTTTAGCTACTGGCAATAAAACGACAGCCAAGAAGACTGCGGCTGGGGATCGAAGCGAGGTCACCTCATATGGCATACATGAAACCCCAATGACTGTGGAGGTATTGCTTAACCCCAACGATACCAGAGTAAGAAACCGCCACTTGAATAGGACTGTGAACTTCTATTAGCCTGCCATGCGCATGGCCTTCGGGAGGGCCAGGCGATTCGTTACATTGGCGTCAGCGGCTGCTGTGGTCATCATTGTTGCAAGCTAGGGACTATAAGGGTCTAGTTCGATGGGCTTCTTGATGCATGGATCCGACGCCAATCTAAGCGTAGACGATGTACCTGCCCCTGATCACGCCCGCGGCAGTGAGGACGATGTATTGGGAACTACGTGGGAAGAGGAAAATGACACGCTAGACCGCTTGGAGGAGAACACGAAACTCTTTCAGAATGCGTAGAGAGCAGCATCGCAAAAAGGCACAACGCGCTTTTAAAGAGGCATATATACCGATTGTCGACAGGACGACGGTGGATGATCCTGTGGCGCTTTTGGCACATCGAACAGACCTGGTGCTTGCAACCATCGAGGACCTTGAAGCAACCGACGAGGAGCGAATGGTCAGCTGTTTCCTGGCGATTCATCTATACAGTGGGCTCATGATGGCGGCTGCACAGCGCCTGAAAGGCCTTTCGGAGCTCAAGAAGTTCGTCCTGAGGTATAATCTTGGCTCTTTGGTTTTAGGCATGTCTCCTCCTTGCTCGACGGCGGGCAGTCATCAGAAAGAAAGCACGATATTACAAGAGTTTGCGAATAGCCTTAAAGCCACAAGGAAGGTAAACTTTACAGATACTCATGCGACTGTACAAGGCGGGGTAGGCGTGCACATGGCTGAGAAGCTGAGAAACATGATGATTGCAGGGGATCTGATAGACAATGCTAACCAGAACGTCGGTCCCGCCTTCGATAGCTTCGCAAGTTCCTTGAGATGAGGATCGGATTTTAAGGAACTCGCCACAGGCGTCATGGATGCCGTATGGGATGAACAAGCAAAAGGCTTCGACTAAGCAGAAGTAATGGAGTCATCTGAACAGGACCAAGGGGTTGAGCCTGTAATGACCCTCTTGAAGACCATAAATGCTCTTCAGTACTCGAAGAGCTGTATGTGGATCTCTCCAGAAAATATTGGCACGTGGGCAGGGAAATGAACGGAAGCCCAAGTGCGCGTGCTGATGAGGCGGCTGCAAGAATATGAAAATGGTGCACAAGCTGAGCGGATAAAGTATACAAAAGAAGTTGGAGATGTTACGAATTTCTCAGAGGAGGTTCAAAGTGGGGTGCCTGACAGCATCTTTCCTAACATTCCCACTCTCCGCCAAGATCCTGTGGCTCGCTGTGGCGGGGTATAAACAGTGGGGAGGGTCGGGAGCTTAGGGGAGGGGGGGGTTCGGCTGGCGTGCTGGTGACAGGGAGCAGTAGAATTGAGGATGTGGAGGAGAGAATAAAGGGCATGTGGTAGACAATTGTTTACTCTTGGAAGGAAGTAGAGGATGGAGAGACGGGCTTGCGTTTGTTCATTCGCTACGGCACACGGTGGAGGTCCCTCTTCGTCGTGCTGCATTGTGCCCCCACCGCATTTCCTCGGCGCAGTCCCTTCTTCACCCCCTGAAGCTTCCAATCGAAAGCGTTAGAGATCTGACCACCAGGTGGACAGGGGAGCGATGGGGACGTTCTTGCAACTCAAATGCAGTCGGAGGACGGCTTGGCTCTGGCCCCTGTGCGGGCAAGCCAATAGACGACAGGGCTATAGCCGCAGCGAAGCAGAGGTTTCTGCCGCTTTCGGGAGGCCTAGTGCAGATACGATATCGTACAAAAAACTAAATCTTCGGAGTTGAAAGGATTGCAAGAATGGTATACACAGACAAACTAGAAACTACCAATGTACAGACCAGGCACATGGGAGAGGAGCTTTTGACTTTTAGCGGGGGCCTTGATGAATGTGCATGCACCCACCTGAGTCAGTGGCGTTTGACGTCTGCGGAAGCAAAAGGCCAATCCT